TTCTCAGCCACCTACTTATGACATATGTCAGCTTTGCTGTGACCCGGTGGGCGCCTGCCTAAGACCGCGTGTCCCCTGGAGCCCATGCTCCACCGACAGCCACGGCCACCGTTAGAGCAAAGATCGCGTCATGTCCCTCTGGTTCATCCGCCGATCACTTAGTGCTGCACAGAGATTCAAACCTAGACTCTGCTGCAAGACCCCACGCCCTCTTTTTTATTTAAAAAATAAAAAGTATTCGAGCCAGATTTTGTTCTCGTAATTAACAGATTGGTCAGTGTACGTTAATCACATTAGCAGGTCAAGTTACATGCAGACACTCGGGGATTTATTTTGTGTTAATGAGCAGCTCGTTGTCTGGGATTGATAAGCGACTCTCGGGGACCATTAATCTTCGAGGCCTTTGTCTCTTTCCCGCCCCGTCACCCTCGTACCCGTGCACCTGGGCGCCGTGCCCGAGAGGCCAAGCCTGCTGTCGTCGGCAGGTGTGACGAACGTCTCAAAGTTCTGTGTCCCAACATTCAAACCCCAACAAACGCCCGGGTTCTCTGGGACGCGAGGGTGACGCTTGGGGCCTGAGCAAGACAGTCGACGCGTCATCCAGACGTTCGGATGCTGGGAAGAAACGAACGGGAGATCTGTTGCTTCAGAAGCTTCAGCGTCATTCCGTCTCCGTGGGGAGAGGTTGGGGTCAGAGGCTCTGACGGTTCACTTGCTGGTGCTTTGGGACACGCATGTGTCTCGTCCTGCACCCGGCCTGAGGAGGAGACACGTCGCTTTCTGAGACTGCGACCTCCCGCCCTCCACCGAGGGGTCAGTTTCCTCTGTGTGGCAGGGCCGCCTGGCTGCCTGTTCTCTGCTGGGTGCTCCAGGCCCAAGGAGCTCCTAGGAGTGTGAGGTTTCCAGCCTCACCAATATCGGGAAAATGCGCATTACCGCAGCAGTGAGACGCGGCTCCCCTCCGTCAGGTCAGGAAACACCTGGGAGGGCTGACGGGGCAGCGTGGGGTGGGGAACAGGTGCACCCGCACACGCCACTGGAAGGCAAATGGCTGCAGCGTTCTGGGGCCTGGAAACATCTCTCCGTATGTAACATGCGCACACCCAGGAGAGGAGCTCAGGGCTGGAAGTCTTGAATCGCTTGCAGAGGAGCCCTGGGGAGAGCAGCCTCCCAGAGCAGGTGACACGGAAGTGGGATTTCTGAGGATGAGTAGGAGTTGGTTAAGAGAAGTGGGAGGGAAAAGAATCCTGTGCAGAGGTAACAGTGTGTGCAAAGGTCCTGGGGTAGAGGATCGGAGTAAGCGCCAGGGTGAGGAAGGTGTGACCAGAGTGATGAGAGTGGGACAGCAGATGGGGAGGGCAGCCCAGGGGCCAGTAGGGGTCAGACCGTCACGCCCTCGTGCTTGGAGCAGCGGGCACCAGGCACGGGTCTCAAGCACGCTGCGATGTACCTGGATTTGTGTTCGCAGAATCGGGAAGACCCACTGGGAAGCTTCCGGCAGAATCCGAGCGAGAGTCTGAGTGAGCACAGAAATGCTTTGTTGCTGCCACTGTGCGCGGCAGGTCCCGCTAACGTGACGTCCAAGGTGTTGCCATCAGCGCCTCTCAAGGAAGTTGCTTCTGCCTTAATTTCTTCGCCCAGGCACGGCAGCGCCAAAGCCGCTGTGATCTGCGTCGAGGAGATAATTCAGTTTGCTCGGTGTCCCCCCATTTCACGTCCCACCCGAGGCTTCCCCGGGAGGCGGCACCTGACATTTGCAGGCTACTTAAGCGCCGGCCTTGACGCCAACATCCGGCTACAGATATCACGGCTGCAAAACCTGCCACGGGCAGAGCGTCTCAGACAGGCGTTCCTCACCGGTGCACGACCCAGGACTTCTCAGACGTGAGCTTTCCCCGGGGCTTGTGGCACGTACTTGGAGGCCACGTGGAAGCCAGTGCTGGGAATTCGGTGGATGTCGTCGTTGGCGGCAGCCAGGGGCTTTCAGACTCTCGGGAGACTCCGCGGCCCTTTGTGCTCCCGGGAAGAGACAGAATCGTGACGACCTGTGGAAGTTACTGGCAGCTACGGTGCTGATGCGGGAGAACGTTCCGGGCGGTGGTGACGGAGGGGAGGGGGGACGGGCAGTGCGGGCTGGGGCGTGGGGAGGAGGCTCTGTGGACGGGGACCCCGCCTGGGCCGTCGTTTGTTATACTCGCCAAGTGCCAGAGGCCGTCCGGGCCTGGGGTGCGGCAGCAGACAGGGACACACACTCTCTAATCTCGTGGTGCTCACAGATAAGGGGGGAAGACACCATAGAATAAGCACATAAACAAACAAAATAATCTCTGATAAGGATGCATGCAGGGCCAGCTGTGCAGTGATGCAGGGACAAGCATTTGGACAGTGGGAATGGCGCGTGCTGAGACCTGGAGGTGGGTGGCGTGGTCGTGGAACGGAGCGGGGGCCGGCGTGGCTGCAGCGGGTGCGGAAGGGACGGGTGAGAGATTGGGTTGCAGGAGTGGCCCGATCCCGGAGGAGCCGGTCGGCTGCCACCAAGGGTTTGGGTTTTGTTCTCAGTGCGGTGGGCAGCGCCACACCCTGGAGGAGGAGGCCACGTGGGACACCTCTGGTTTGGGGCAGGCTGTTCTGGGCAGCTGTGGGGGCGGGAAGAGCACCTGGGGAGTCTGGCTCTGGTGCTGGTGAGAGCTGGCAGCAGTGGGCACAGGAGGAGATGGTAGACACAGGGAAGAAGGTTCTGGTGCAAACGGAGGATTTTAAACCGATTTGGGTGTTGAACAAAGCGGGAAGGGAGGGATCGAGGAGGACCTCGGCTCCCTGGCGGGGGCTGAGGGCACAGCGGTGTTATTTGCCGAGACGGGGCAGCCTGGAGAAGGGACCCATCCGAGAGGGCAAATCAAGAACTCTGTTCGCACTGGCTGAAGTGGAGCTTCCTCCTGCGCGTCCGTGCAGGGATGATGCGCAGGCAGTTGCGTCTGGGCGCAGGATAAAGGTTTAGTTTGGAATTACACGGCACTTGAAACCGGTGCCGGGCGAGATCCCCCAAGGACAGAGCATAAGTACGGCAGTGGCCGCCACAGGACGCGGAGGTCGGGCAGCAGCAGAGGTCGCAGGAGGGAGACCAGTGAGCGTGGGCTGCGGGCCCGAAGCCAAGGCCCCGTGAACCGGGGGGGCCCGTGTCAGGTGCTGGTCAGAGGCTCGGTCCGGTGCGGCCGAGCGGTGGCCGCTGGCGTGGGTGACAGGGAGCTCTTTGGCCACGTTAGCAGAATTTCGGTTGAGCAACAGGAGGGAAGCCGGGGGCAAGGCTTGAGGAGTGGATGGGAAGTGAGGTCGTGGAGAGGGAGGGTAGAATCCGCCCTTTTACAGAGCTCTGTTGAGAGCAGAAGCATGAACCACGGGCCTGGCTGGAGGGGGACGTGGGCTTTGAAGGGACAGGTGAGATTTGGGGACACAGGAGCCGACAGAAGTCCCCAGCGGAACTTGTCCTCCCAGCATCCGTCGTAGTGAACCTGGGACACATTTTTCAAGGGTAGAATCTATGCCTTTCTGACAACTGCTTCATGTTGACTCAACTCATAGCCTGAGAAACTTAAAAGCTATTTTCGTCCTGGTTGTTTCCATCCACTGGGTCTTTGAACCCCCTTCTCCCGGCTCCTCTAAGCGAGGAGCCCCCAAAGTGCCCGTCGCCCATCTCCCCTGGTGGCTTCAAAGCCCACAGCGCCGCGCCTGGGACTATCTCTGCATTTGGTTAATGCTTCTAACGCGTCCCGGTAAGGAGAACGTTTCCTCCCTCCCCTGACGACTTCCTCCCGAAGCTAAATAAAGATCGCCCAGGCTGCGTTTGGCAGTGCCCACTTCCAAGATAAACAGGGGCACAGAAATTAGCCGGAACCATCGTGCAATTGAACAGCTGCAGAGCTGCTCATCCAAACCAGGGCGGCTGCTCCGGCCCTCGCGGTGTTCGAGGATGAGGGTGGCGGTTCTTAAGTTGTCTCAGCCCAGAAACGGGGCCGTGGCGGGAACACGCGGGCTCTGAGTCTCAGCGTTCTCGGGGCAGCCTCCAGGCTCTGCACATTCCAGCTGTGTGGCCTTGAGCAAGTTGCTTAGCTTCTCTGAGCCTGTTGCCCCGTTGTGAAATAGTGACCACCGTGTCCAACTCTCAGCGTTAAACGAGGCCTCGCGTGGACTTGGCGGAGAGCCCGGGACAGAGTAGGTGCTTCGTGAACAGCGGCTGCCGCGTTCGGGTTTGTCACCGCCATCCTAACACATGATCGTGGTTCCTCGTTGTCCTGTGGGTGGGGCCCCGGCCACCTCATACGCTCCGATTTCCACCGCACACCTGGGGTTTAAGTAGCGGCACGTGGCACCGCGCACGTTCCACGGGAAGGGCTTTCTTACGTTTGTTTGGGGTAAGAGGTAACGGACTTAAGAGGAACTTAACGGACACCACGTACTGGTCTAGCCCACGTAAAATTCAAGACACCTCTATGACATGGGTGCTAATTAATAATTGGCTAATCAATAGTAGGTGTTTCATTAATTATTAATTAACCATTTAGAGAAGATAATGATGTTAAATAATCAATGCAGAAGAAGAGCATGTCACCCAGAGAGGTCAAGCAACCATCCTAAGGTTGCAGAGCTGGTGGCATCAAAGCTGGGATGTGACCCTGAGTGGTCCTGGCTCTTAACCCCTCATCCTGCCCTTGGCTGTTGCAAAGGACCTGAACAAAAGTGGACAGGAGAGAGATGAACTTTTTCAAAACAAGGAAAAAGAGGACATTCGGTGTTGCAGGAGAGCTCTTGAGCTCTGCGCCGCGGGAGGAGGAGGAACAGGGCGTGGGGGCTTGGGGCACCAGGGTCCCCGTTGGCTCTGCGGCTGCAGGAAAGCCGGGTCCAGGCAGGGCCCCAGGTCCCCGCGGAGTCGGGCCGCACTCCGGTGCGGTCACAGGCCCTGGGCGCCGTGGCCACGCTCAGCGGGACCCTCCCTGTCCCCACAGCACATGCGAGAGGCCGCGGAACGGCGGCAGCAGCTGGAAGCGGAGCATGAGCAGGCCCTGGCTGTCCTCAGCGCCAAGCAGCAGGAAATCGACCTTCTGCAGAAGGTGAGCACGGGGGCTGGGGCGCGGGAGGGGCGGGCGGGGGCCCGAGGGAGGCGGCTTCTCCCGCTGTCTCCTTGCGCAGAGATTCGGTCATTTTTGCCTCCCCACGTGCTCCGGGTTTTCCGAAGTTTCTCATATTCGTGATGCAAAAACAAGCAGAAAGCTCCAACGCCTGATGCCGGCGAGGTGGTGGGGAAGGACGGGCTCTCAGGTTGCTTCTGCTTTGGGGGAGTCGCGGGCGTCAGTTCTCGCTAAACACGCACGTAGGTGTTGACGCCCTGCCCCATCCTGGGACTGCCCTGCAGGAAACACAGGAGCACGTTCGGATGGACTATTATCATTACTGTTGTTATTTGCAGTCACGCTGCGTGGGAGGAGGGGTGGGGAGCCGGGTTGAACCAATGCCACCCAAGGCGATGGCCGCACACGTCGCGGTACAGCCGCACCGCGGACCGAGACGGCGCCAGCAAAGGGAGTCGCTGTGGTTTGAACCCGCTGTCTCAAGGCCATTTACGTGGCCTGTTAAGAGCGAGCACGTCAAATTGCAGAGCCGTGTGGTCGCGTGGTCCCGCTACCGTGTGAAAGCGGGGAGGATGCGGGAGAGACGAGGCCACGGGGAGAAGGACCGATTGGTGCCGTGTGCACCTGCCAGGCGCTGGGGGCGGGGGAAGCTGATCCACCCCTACTTCAGTCCTCACCTGGGTCCTGCTGTCTCTCGCCCGGTGGCAGGAAGGCCCCCCTTTCAGAGCCAGGAGGCTTGTGGTGCCCGCGGTGGGAATCAGGACACGGGACCTGTGCCTAGACCTCTGTTTCCCCCAAAGCCCTGCCCGCTCCTCCCCCCTGCTCTGCGGCCCCGCCCGGCCCCGGCTGGGGTGGGCATCGGGCAGCCCCTCTGCCGGCCGAGGCCCCTCCACCCGTCCGACGGCCTCTCCGGGTCCCGGGTCTGAACACAAAGGACACACGATGGCTCGCCCCGCCCGGTTGGTGATAGGAATCTACCGGACGTTTTCTCCTGCACAGCTTATTGGCAGAGCTCGTGGCGACAGGTGGATAACTCCTGCTGCCGTTCCTCTCATCTCTCAGCGCGAGATGATGTCGAAGACGGCTTTCATTAAGCCGGCGCTGATGGGACTGTCACGGCCCTCGTTGCCTGTCATAATAAGTTGGCAGGCGCCCTGAGAGGCGACGTTTCAGGAGATGTTATCGGCGACGGATATTGCCGGCACGCAGGCAGAGAAGCCGCTCTCGTCTCCTCCTGCCGGGCCCACGGGACCTTCCTCGCGGCCCGGTGTCGTCTGGACGGCATCGCGACTCCGGAAGCCGCGGCCCCCGGCGGGGGCTGTCTGGGCCGGATGATAGGTCTGCAGGAACATAAACACCATCTAGGGAGGGGACGGGACGTGCCCTGTCGGCAGAGCCTCCTCCGAGAGCTGGAGTTGTATTCACTGAGCGTTTGGGGCCAAAGAGGACGGGGTGGAACCGGCCCTCGCTCGGCCCCTGACTCTGCCACCTCACGTCTCTGATCTCACCGTCCTGTGCTCTCCTCCCGTGTTCGTCGTCTCTCTTGGCACACGGACGCTTCCGGAGTGAGGGCGGCAGAGGAAGAGAAAGTAGATGGAACAGGGAGGGGTCGGTTTTGTGATTTCTTAGACGCTCCAACTTTTCAGAGACGTGTTAGAGGAGGAAGGTCGAATCCCAGGTGGAGGGAGGCTGGCGGATTCTTCCTGGAGTCCGTCTTTCCGTCTGACGTGCGGTGTGGACGGCCGTCGGGCTACACCTGCTGGCCGGACCCCCGCTCGTTCGCTCCAGGCACCGGTCGCCCGTCTGCGTCAGCCACCCGGCCGCGGTTCTAGAAAGCACGGTGGCGAGTGAGCCTGGCCCTGCCCTCCTGGGGCGACAGTAAGCGAGCAGCTAATGCAAGACTGAAAGTCCACGTTGCGACCAAGGCCACGAGGGACTACCGTGCGCAGTGGCACTGTAGGTGAGACCGGAGCGAGCAGAGGACGCCACCGCGCCGGGAGCTGGGGGGACAGCAACCGTTCGAGCCCTCGGGGTGCAGGAGTGGGGACGGGGCAGGGCAGTGGGGTGCGGGCGGCGAGGCGGAGGATTTGATTCTGGAACTGTAGGCGCAGAGCGGACACACTTGACCCACCAGGGCTGGGGCCTCTGCTCTAGGGTCCGGTGTCAGCCGCAGACTGGTCCTTGTCCCCCTACCAAGATAAAAGTCACCAATCCTCTTTGGACTGTCTGAGATCCAAATGTGGTTCCGATGAGGCAGAGAGCCCCTGTTCTGTCCACAGCCCAGCTCTTCCTAGCGGGCCGCCCACCCCCATCACGCGGCACCTGTTCATGTCACCCAGGAGTGGCTTCATGGCCGGGGTTGGTTCTCTGTGCTCGTTTCCTTCGACCCGCGGGCCCAGTTTGCCATCGTGGGCTCTCACGACACCACCCTGTCCTGCTTCTCCTCCAACACACAGACCCCCTACGTGTCATAGGCAGCGACCCCAAGACTCGGTCCTCAGCCACGTCCCTCCTTGGTCTACACTCGCCATCTCAGCGACCTCGGCTCATCCGGCGGGTTTTGGCGCCGTGTGTGGCGACTCCGTCAGGCGTCTGCCTCGGGGGTGCCGGCCTTGGTCACCGTGTGGACGGCCGGGGTGGGTGCAGTCACAGACGGGCCCTCTGTGTTGGTTCCGGGCAGCGTCCGCCTCGGTCTCCTGTGCTCCCGGAGCGTCACTGTGTTCATTAGCCCCCCGGCTCTGCCGGTCGAGGGCCCCGGTTCTAGAGTCCTCACAGCCCTAAGCACGGCCCCACGACCTCCTCCGCTTTTCCGTGGCGCTGACGCTGAGTGACAGCAGTAGCCGAGCCTCGCCCTACCCCGGCCTCACCGTTACACGTGGGTGGTTCCAACTGTCGGGTCAGGACGTTGGCGATAGGAGACCCGAGGTCCCCTCCCTCTGTGGACGCCTCCCTGGACCCAGCTGCTGCTGCTGCGGGGACCCGCCCCCTTGACCTTTGACCCTTCGGGTAACGGGCCTGTTCCCTGGCATCCAGGGCAGGATGGGCCCTGCGGGGGCCGTGTCCCTCTCGGGTTTCTGTTCCACGGGAAGCCTCATCCGAACGAAGGCCACACTTTCCCACGCATTGGCGGTGGCCCCCGAGATGAGCCGCGCTGAAGCCGTCGCTTAGATTGTGTGAGGATTCAGCGCTGCTGGTTTTCACGGCTAATTTTAACAATCTGTTCTCACTGCCCAGCGGCCCGGCTTGCAAGGAGCCCGCGAAAGCGAACTCCTGGTTCTCATCCGAAGCCGGAAACCGCGTTGCTGCTGCCAGCGCAGCCGTGCTTTGACAGCCCGCGGTGGCTTTTTCCTGTTTTCTGATCCTGCCAGTTGAAACCGTCTTGGGTTCGACTGGCTCGGTGGTGGCGCCATTTATAGAGTCCCCGAGTTTCTCTGCCCGCTCCTCTTTTTCTGTGAGGTTATTCATTGCTGCCCTCGCTGTTTTCCCTTTGAAAGAACGGTCTGAAGCGCTCGATGATTGAGCCGAATTCGAGGATGGGGTCGTTAACTCGCTGCGTCCTAGTCCCTGCCCAGATCTCGGGACCCTCCTGGGAACACGTGAGAATAAAACGCGTGACAACGAACTCCTCGGAAACCGGGCTACTTGTCACTTCCAGTCTGCGCCGGGGCAGCCAAGCTCTTCTTCCCACTCACGGCGCTTGGTGAGTGAGGAGCAGCAGCTGTCAAGACGATGTTCACTCACTGATGTCACCGATGCTGCTCTGGGCACCAGAGAGAACGTTTCTCTAGAAACCGAGAATCCCGACGCGGGTCTCCACGCAGTACGTGGATGGTTTGTTGGCACTCGATGTCTTGAGAGGCCGGTGAGCCACAACATCAGGAAATGATTCTCCCCAAAAGTGGTCTCTTCCTGCTTCATTGGTGACATGTGCGAGCCACTGAGGCCAGCGCAGTGGATACGCTACGTGGCACGTGGTGCAGGCTGGAGCCTTTTCCTCTCTGGCTGTGGCACAACCCCAGCCTCCTGCCAAACCTCAGTTTCTCAACGTTAAAATGGAAGCTTCACGTTCTTCACAGCCGATGCTGTGTTCATGGGCACTCTTGGTTCCTAGGGACAGAAAATCCACAAGGAAATTTTATTTGTACACATTACTGAGACTTTGACCTCAGCTGTGGCTGGATCCAGGGCCCAAATCAGCTGGCTTCAGACACAGTGGAGTCCAAGGCCTTGCAATGCCATCTGCCACCTTACTGTGGTGGTGGGACGGAGCTGCTGCAGCCATCTTGGCACCATGAGGGTCACTCCAGCCTCACTCCTCTCGGGCCAAGTCCAACAGGAGAGGGTCCCCCTCCCCCTCCATTCCCCGGCAAAGGCTCAGTGTGGGCAGCAGGCCACACGCCGCCGGTCGCCACTCGCCGAGAGCCTGGGCCCGTGCTCAGTGTGGGGAGGGGCAGGTCCCAGCAAATCCAGGGGCTCCTCCCGGGAGAGGAGACGGCAGATGCTTGCTGTCATCGTGCTGCTAGAACTTCTGGGACTGTGAGGACCATGATCGTGTCATCCTTCAGTTTCGTATGAGTTTGCCCTTGGCCCAGGCAGCAGCCATCCTCAGAAATCTCTTCAGCAAAACTTGCAAAACATTTTATTCTGTGGGGCACGTGGTTTTGCTTCGGCGCTTCGTAGAGGGTGGCCCGTGCCACAGGCCGGAGGTGCCAGGAGTCTGCTGCACGCTCAGGGCCCCGCAACAACTGTGCCAGGGCCCTGGGGTCTCGGAAACCATGAGCTGCTCTACTTGGGGTCAGGTTTGCGGGACTGTGTTTTGGTTCCCAAGCAGTTATGGACATTTGAGGGACGAAGGCGCTGCCCAGGGGGCTGGGGAAGGATCGTCCTGCCATTCTGGGCTCACCACCCTCTGTGTGTGGCCCCTTCTCCGGAGTAGAATTGGGACCTGTCCCCTGCCTGCGCCCCAGACAAGGCCCGAGGGT